AGGGGCACGAGTTAGGAGTTATTTTATGGTCAAGCGGAGAATTATATGACCCTCAAGGGTATTTAATTGCTTCTTCAGTCCCTATTTATAATGTTTGTTCATATTCACCGGATCAAATTTTATTCACTTTTTTTCTCCATTTCCGTTAGCAATTTGATAAAATAAAGTATTATTATCACTACTAGTTTTGTAGAACTTTTGATATACCCCAGAGTAATATCTTAATATGTTATTTTTATTTTTTAACTCTATAGCATTTGTCATATAAAATAATTTGAAAATAATTTAAATCATATATCGTAAACCGAAACAGACACTATAAATTGGGACGGAGTGTGTACATCCATGAGTGTTATCAAAAGAACGCCTCATTTTAAATTAGTTTGGAGATTGATAAATTGAAATAATAAACGAAATAAAAATGACCTTTTCATTTTTTATTTTTATATAATACTCCTTTGTGAAAAAAAGGTCATCCTTTTCTTTTGTTAAAGCTCCTTTGTGAAAGCTCTCCACACCCAAATCTGTAATAGATTGAGAGGCCCACCGATTTGTGTCGTCTCCGATAGAGCTGCACCACACAAATTACTGTATATGCAAGCCAATGCCGCAGTGGCTATAGCACGACTTCGCACAACTTGCATCGTGCGAACGAGCAACTCCAAAAGGCACAAGTTCACCCTGTTACCCGTCGTGCTAGAGAAGAGAGCACCACCGATAATCTTCAACATCAAGACCCGAGCATGCTGCAAAAAGTCGACCTCCGGGCTATGATCACAAACAGGAATGGGTACGATCGAATTCATTCTGATCTACGTCTTGCTCAAGTCCTCTAAAGATGGTCTAACTCCTGAGCCCCATCATATTTGCACACAATTGCACCTAATACTCTTTCGTGTTGCCACGCAACCAACAATAGAGGTGCCATCTACGTGGAGACCAAGTAGGACCTCTACATCATGTAATGTTATCCCAACTTCTCAAATAAAAGATGAATGGTGTGCGACTCTGGCCTCCACCTCTCGACAAAGGCGGTAATCAAAGCCCGATCGATTTGTAACTAAGAAATCCTTTCTATCCTGTAAAATCAGTAATCACGCAATTTCTCCACAATTCGTGGATGATGCTCCACACCAAACCCTTCCCTCAAGCTACCAAAAAATTTAACACATTTCACCGGTTACGTCCCCAAACTCACGGTCTTTCCACAGCCTATCACAACGATGTTCGCCGGGTGCCAAGACTAGTATATCGGGGGCAATTGGTTCCGGATGAACATCCTTTCTTTGAAAATTCATTATTCTATGAAATTAAAATTTATAGTCTATGAATACGAAAAATAAAAAAATATATAATGCACTACAACAGATCCATTAATATATCACAAAAAATTCAGATATCTCATAAACATTTCAATTTAATAAATTCTCAACACAGATCTAATTTTAAATTTTCTATATTGTCAACATTTCAATATTCTATATTCTCAACATAGATCTAATCATAAACATATCTCATAAAAATTTAATTACCAAATATAAGTTTAAAATAGAAATTTTAGGAATACAATACCGTTGACTCTAAAAATGGTGACAAAGGGCATAGTTTTCAGAACCGGACCAACGATCGAACCGGTCGAGGTACTGGTTCACTGGTTCACTGGTTGAACCAGTGGTTCAAACATTTTTGAAAATTTATTATATATATATATATATATATATATATTATAAAACAAAAACTACTTTTTCAATCTAAATATATTGAAGTTACTTATGATATATGACTAAAGTTATAATCAATTTAATTAATTTGAATAGTAGCATTAAATTGATAAAATTATATATTATGAAATATTTAAAAATTATATTGAAAATTTTATACTCGTAAAATAGAAGGATATTTTAATTTTTTAATAATTTGTTCAATGTTTTCAAAACTTATTTAACTTAAATATATCATTGATATGTACTACTCCCTTGTCTTCACTTTTGATTTTTTTGGTCAAGATTGGTAAACTTTAACTTCAAATTAAATAAAAATGATATTAGATATTGATATAAAAAGAGTTATATTAGATTTATTATATCAAATATTTTCAAAATATTATTTTATTTCAATAAAATAAATGTATATTTTATTTAAAAAGTCAAAGATTGAAAACAGTTAATCGTAAAAGTCAAAACTGGACAAATACTAAGGAACTAAAGTACTCCCTCCGTCCCACTGTTTTTGTCTACTTACCTTTTGGCACACCATCCAATGCACTTCTTTAATCCATTTTATCTTGTAATTTGTATATTAAAAAATTATAAAAATTATATATTAATAATCTATATGTTAAGACGAATCAAACAAGATCACACATGACTATTTTTAGACTTACACATTGAGAGAATTTGATGAGTCAAAGTGCTTAGATGAACAGTTCCAAAAGTCAAAAGTGGACAAAGACAGTGGAACGGAAGTAGTAGTATGTATTTGTAGAATAAGTAGTACTTAAAAGTTTAAATTTGAGTTACAATATTATATTTTTTTAATGTTTTATGAAAAGACGGAGGGCGAGCAACTGTGATGGCAGGCTGGCTGTTGGCAACAGACGAAGGGGGTTGCCTGGGGCGCTGCTCTCTTCACAATTCTTTGAAGTTGGGGTTGGAATGGGGTTTGGACAGGAGAAGATTCAAATTTTTTTAGGTCTAACGGTACAAAATCCAAATCTTGAAAACTTGGGCTTTTCCCATTCAAAAGCAATAAAATCGAAGTTACGGTTTGGGTTTTCCCATTAAAATCGAATTTACAGTTGGGGATATTCAAACCTGGAAGTCGGCTTCAAACTTGGGAGTCGCAAGATTGAAATTGGGAGTCGCGACTGGAATTGGGAGTCGCGACAGACGCTACAGTTTGGTCTTTGGGAGTCGCGACAGACGCTACAGTTTGGTCTTTGGGAGTCGCGACAGACGCGATTTGAATTTTTGGTCTTTGGGCTTTTCACAATCGCCGATCTCCTGATTGTGCGATTGCACGATCCGGATCGTCGACCCGATGAATTTTCACGAATCTGAAGGCGAGTTGGATCGGAAAAGGGCTGGCGATCTCTAGACTCATAGAAACGGACGAGTCAGTATTTGATGCTTTATACTGCAGGCTCAACATTTCTTAAAGAAGCTCTGTGATGAGGTTTCATTGCGTTTGCAGGGATGTGGCGTTAAGGGCCACACTTTTACCCTTATGGTTCATCCGTTGTCTTCATTTCTACCATCTCTTTAGGCCTTTAGGGTTGGGAACTATCTTGAATCTGATGTTCCAATCTGATGCATACACACATGACACACCTCTAACATTGCTTAGCTTCACTCTTGTTTTCTATTAAATAATTTAACGGGCTTCTTATTCCTCTGATGTAATTTATTGTCCAGATAAAGAAGAGGAAGATTGATGCTGGGGAGCCTGCAAAATATTTGGGTTGCGGAATCTGTGACAACTTGAGTCACTCTACAACGGTTTGAGTCTTTTTGTTGCTGTACTGAACAAAATGTCTGTTGGGTTCTATGCCTACTAAAATTTCCTTTTATTTTTTTACTGAATTTTTCAAACTAGGTGGCAATGGCTACAGATGATGTCGATGTGCTTTATAGGATAGCTTCTCAGCTCTTTGGACATTTTCAAATAGGTAACCAGATTTGATTATTACTCCATCCGCATCACTTTTTGTTGCTGTTTACCTTCTTGTCTGTCTCCGACTAATTTTTTCGCTCACCAAAATTAGTAACATTAATGTGGCTAAGAATCCTCACATTGATTCTTGTATTTTTTTTACTTTTTAACTTCAATATCAGCCTCACAATTCCCTCTTCCAAAAAATAGCGGAAGGAGGTAGTAATATTTTATAAAAGATGCACACAACCCTAGCTCTTCTGGTCATTGCATGCAAGTAGTGGTTGTCTATCTCGAGTAGTTCTAGTCCCTTCATTTTCATTACTAGGGTATATATTTTATGGGCTCTATCTTAATTATATGTATCAATCTAATTCTCCTTTCTTTCAATTTAGTTGTTTTGTTTGTTTCTATACAGATGTAGAGGATATAAGAGGAATGAGCTTGCAAGTTACAAAACTAGGACTTGCACAGTTTGTTGACTGCTAAAACTTATGTTATGTTATTGCTGTGCGAAATTGATTACTTTATCCATCCTAAATTGATCTTCTCATGTGAAATTAACACGGATATTAAGAGTGAAACTAAATTGATTTAAATGCTCCTACCTACTTCTTAGGTTTACTAAATGTAACGTAAAAAGTAGTAAATATGTAGGGTATTAAGGGTAAAAGCGTCCTTTTATAAAACAAAGTATAAAGTGTAATAAGATCATTTTGGGACATCCAAAAAAGAGAAGTGATAAAATTATTTTGGGACAAAGGGAGTATCACTGTATCAATTTCTTTTTCTTCGCTTTACCTTCTGTTCTTTCTCAATTTCACTGTGAGGGGAGAAGGCATATATGTTTTTGGTATTTTCTTGCTTGTTTGTACCACATATCTGTACTGGTGACTAGCAGGACAAATTATAGACTGAGCTGGTTATCTTTATGGATTTACTTAAAGTAGTTACTGAACCCTGACTATGCAAACTTGTTTAGTTTTTTGCTACTTTCATGCCAAAAGAAAGCCACACGTACATTGCATGTCCTTGTTGTGTCTACGTCACCTTTTTTAATTGTTTGAAATCTTCTATAAACATTAGCAGCCTTTATGTTTGCTACATCTTTGCAGGAAAACAAGTCAATAGGTGCTGATGTCAAC